TCACCAGGCCCAGCGCCTCACCCATCGACCCATTGGCCCCCTTCCAGCCAGGCCCACCCTGGTGCCATCCCGCCAGCCCTGAGAGGGGCCACGGGCTGCTGGAAGCAGGGCAAGGCTGGGCAGACCCCGGGGAGGAGCCCTGGTGCAGGGACCGGCCCCACAGCAGTGGTAAGAAGATGCTGCACTGGCCACCCCACTGCCCAGTTTGCCCACTCAGACTTGGCCCTGTAGCCTGTCTGTGGTGATGGGCTCCCCCTGTGCACCAGTCCCAATGCCTCACTCACGTTTGCCCCCCATCCCCGTCACGCTGGAGGATCAGGCAGGACCACGCCTTCGTGGGCAGGGGGCAGAGCTGCTCCTTGTGCTGCCAATCGTGCGTCCCTTCTGCTGCCCACTGGGTGTCATTTCTGAGCTGTGCCAGCAAGATCAGGGGCCTCACCAGGGCCAGGGCTCAGCCCTCCTTGGAGAGCCCCTGCCTACTGGAGGATAGATGCTGCCTCTGAAATCTCCACCCCCCAGCTCTCAGAGCCGCTGTCTGTGTTTGGCAATACCAGGGCTACCCTGGGAAGAAACAGGCAGGAGCCAGGGCTTGGCACCCGCTGGAGCAGCCAGGCACGAGGAGCAACAGATCTGGGTGTGCCTCGGTCGGACCCATCGCTAGGCTAGGGACCCTTCCACATGGGGGCTCGGGGACAGACAAGTTCTCCCACAAACCTCTGCAAACCAAGCCCTAGAGTGGCTCCACTCGTGTGAGCTAAAAATCATGGGTGGGATACGCCCCAGAGATCCTAGCACCAAGCCCGTGTCAGTGCAGCACGACCTGGGTCTGGGTGCATGCGGCTCTGCGGGGTGGCTGGCTTGGCTAGCCCAGGGTGCATGCATGGGAGCCCAGGCACCAGCACACTCTGCTCTAGAGATGTAGCCACAGACTTCACACCCATCGCCGATGGAGTTCCCATCTCAGTGGCCCTTTGATTCCAGACGCCTTCCCCTGGCAAAAGGAGATGCCTCCAGACCCATTCCATCCAGGTGTCCTCTCTGCACCATCACAGGGAGACACCTCTCCTGAGGCTAGAGGGCCCCATGTCCCATCCACTCCAGTCTCTTCTCTGTACCAACTGACTTGGAGACACCCCATGGCCAGTCTGTCCCAGTCTCCTCCAGGCACTCATTCAGATTGGAAATGCCTCTCCCAAGTCTCCAAGACACGTCCCCATTTCCATTCATCCCAGTCTCCCCCATCCACAAACAGGCTTGGCGACCCTCTCTGGGGCTCCATCCCCACCCAGTTGTCTCCACGCCACTTGCTGAGGACTCCCTGTCTCTTACCGGTCTGCGTTCCCCTCCACGCGTGGGCATCTCTGCTCTGCACTGACATTCTCCCCTCTCCTGGGGGTGAGCGGCCTGGGGCACGTGCAGGATCCTGCTCCTCATCCTGCCCAATCCACATCCTCCTCACGTCCTTCATGCACCAGCCCCCGGTGGGAGGTGCCGTTCTCCATTTCTGCTGGGCCAAGTGGCAAATTTGCCCCCCAGGCAACTCTTGGGAGAGAGGGCACCATGCAAGCCATGGCAATGGAACCATGGCCACTACAGCAAGCCCCACCTCTTAATGGCCATTCAGCCCTGCAGCAGCCCTCAACCATGGGACCCTCCTCCTATAGCTCTGCCCCATGGACACCCCAGCACCGCTGCAGCACAGGGCCCTGCCTCAGGGCAGTTCCTGCCTGGGCACCGCTCCAGCCCTGTTTGGGGTGGGAGCTACACCGTGCGCTGCTCTCAGGGGTGAAGCCTTGTCTCCAGGACACGCTCCTGCCAGCAGAGCTCCTCCAACTTGGAAGGACCTGGGCCAAGGCGCTGAGGGTTTAGCCAGGTCCTCCTTCCCACACACTGCAGTGTCTGTGAGTCCTGCCTCTGGCCTTTACTGGGACAGGGACAATGTTACAGTCTCTGCCCCCCTCTGTACCCAAGCCCCTGGAATGGGGGCCAGAGCCCCAGGCTCAATTTTGGGGGATGTTGCCTCCAAAGGAGCAATGTTGATTGGCTCCAGGGGGGGATCTGGCCCCATCGGCTCAGCTGGAGCTCCAGCTGATTGGCTCTAGCTGGGGGGGATCTGGTCCCATCGGCTCAGCTGGAGCTCCGGCTGATTGGCTCCAGC